AGCCACTTTTTCAAAGTCTTAAGGGCACTCATATTACATCCTCTGGATTATCTGTGTTTTGTTTTGTTGACTCTATTTCATCCCAAAGCCTTGTGTCTAGGGGAATATTCTGTATTTTTCAGCAGCATGATTGCCATGGTGAGTATCTAGAACCATACAATCCTAAACATGATTAGTCAGAGGTAAATCTCATCCACTGGAGTGCAGTCTAAGTAGTGGCTATATTAATATTGGAACCAGGCATTGCAAATTTGGAATTTGTACATATCCTTAGTATTGGGGATGCTCCATGCAGCCTCATTATCCTAGCTTTTGTTGAATACTGGCTCCCTGTGAACTATTGTATTCATAAGAAAATTCATTGGGTCATAAAAAGTAAAATTAGACAAGCAATTACTGATATACTGCTTGGCTTATTGTTATTGTTATACATTTTTAGATAGTATAGAACTGATGGTTTCAAACTGATGGTTTGCCATTGAAATATGATTTCCCGTGGGTTTAATTGGATGGATGTAGACACTCTCTGCTGTTACAGCATGAGGTCCTTTGAATACACAGATTAAACATAGCTCACCTCAGTGGCACAAAATAAAAGGCTGACATTGGGATACATTTTTTGAGCATTTCATCTTCTTCCTGTGTGACTTGGATTTTCAAGAAACTGCCGCATTGTTACTCCTGCTATGATTGAAAAGTAGATACAAAACCTTTCACCTGTAGCATTTCACAATTAGATTTGGGCTTTAAAGGATTAAAGATCCCACTTTCATCTGCAGATCCTGTAAAAATGCTTTCGAAATATATGCTTTGTTTTTGCAATAGCAGTTCCTCATTATTTGTTGCAGAGAGAAAGTTGTACAGCAGCATTTTTTATTTGGAAATGACTGTATGCAACGTTTCAAGGAATTGTGTGTGTTTCAAGCTGATCTGGATGAGGATACATTTCACAAGTTTCAATGACTCCTTACTGTGTGAACTTTAAAAAACTCAACAGGGATATCGAAGAACAGCTTAATAGCAAGCTTTTATCAGAAACATCAGTCCTAGCTAAAATTTATCATCACAAAGTGAACTGCACATTCAGAGCAGAGATTAAGGATCAAGAGAACTCTTCCTGCTCCATTCCAATACTGTCAGCAATTAACTAGCTTTGCCAAATGCTTGTTAGCACATCACCTCTTGGTGATATGTGTTCTCTTCCTTTTCTTATACAACTTATGTCAGGCACCTATAAGATAGGATGGGAACTATGCACCTAATGAGTTGCATGTAGGCAATTTTTGCAACCCCTTGCTCACCCACCCCCCTTCCCAAATTCCCTGGACTCGGGGAAGAAATGACAAAAAAATGGATCTTGTCTCCAGAATTCCTGACAAAGTGCTGCTTGTTTATAAATAAGTACTCTGTCCTAGACACCTTAGTTTGGGTGGAAAATGGGGGAGGTGGTCCCCATATTATTTTTTGGAAGTAATGTTTTATTGGAAAACATTGCTATAGCTCTCACAGGTCACATAGCCAGCTAATAACTCTCATACTCTCCAAAGCTGAGACATTGTATTGCATCCATAGAAGAGGAAGATGGGCAACAGGGCTTTCATGAACACTTTCCCCTTTGATATCCCCTTTCAAAATTTGCTTTGGAAGGTTTTCTCCAACTCTATAGTAGATTTTCAGATAGCACATACAATTGCAGGGGGAGGGAAATGAATGACCCAAAGTAACTTCCAGCAGTAACAAAACCTGGAGCAAAGTTTGAGTTGACTACCACAACTCCCCTATTTGTTGCTACAGTGGAAAAGATGGCTTTAAAGAGTCTTGCCCAAGTGTTTTGCTGTATCAGTGATTATAGAGTCAGCAAACATGTGAAGTCCATGCCCTGTATGATTGCTCATAACAATGTCAAACTAATAAGTGGGCAGATGACACTAGGCGGTGTGGTGGAAAAATCCAGGAGCTGCTGCAAAGACTACAGTGCATTACGATTATTGTTAAAATATCTATATTTTTTCCTGTCATTAGATCACTGAGAAATTTACAGTAAAATCAGTGTGAATTATTTTAAAATTTAAAAACCACAGGAATAACAAAACATCTCGCAAACAAACTCCTTTTTATAAAGTCTTTTTATGTCCACTTTTTCTTCCTCATTCTTTCTGTAACTGGAAAGTTTTTTAAAGGGCATAGTCAGTATTGGGAGGCTGGTGAAGGAGGGCTGTAGAAACACAATCAGTATCTGGTTGCCGCAGCAAACAGTGCAATAAAGCTTGAACTGAGAAAGAATGGGATTGACCTCTAGCTGATCCTCTTGCAGCATAACAAGAATCCCTTAATGCCTGTCTCTATAACTGCCCCCCACAGATAGTAGTAGAATGCCTGAAAGGTGACTCAAGTTTTAACCCACCCTGTGTGGTGGAGAAGGCAGAGAAGTGGCATTTGTTATGTTATGAATACACAATAAAACAAATGAACCCCAAAATATCTGCATGTATATTTGTGTGTGTTGTTTACAGCATGCTGGAAGAAAACTGAGACATGGAGTGATGCACTGAGATTAAATAGATTTTGAGAAATATTCTGTGAACTTCCTAGATGTAATCAGTCTGGAGGCATGGGCCATATAATGTACCTAATTCCAGAGAATTCAATGGTCAACCAGTCCACTATTTGAAATCCAGGAACAATACACTTTCAAACTGTTTGTCTTTCACTGCCATATGGAGAGTGGGAGAGATAGTTATGACGATTACACATGCCCCTCCATGTACATTTATCACAAGGAATGGATGTTGGCTGCTTTGTGGGAGAAAGGTCAAGACCTGGCTTTATGAACAAGCGTTTGGTTAAACAGTGCAACCGAACATAGGAAGACGGTAAATGGAACATAGGAATGGCACAAGGATTATGAGATCGGATCTGATTTCACTGAGGCGCTATGTTCGTTTTATGTTGTTTGTTAATTGTTGTGGATTGATGTTGTTGATCCTGTTGTTACATTTGTTGTGTTTTTAATTGCACTGACATTGTTGTGATAATTTGTACCATGTAAACCGCATTGAGTCGCCTGTTTGGGCTGAAAAATGCGGTATAGAAATAAAGCAAATAAATAATAAATAAATATGATTCTGCTAGGATAGCCTGCTTGGGTTATTAGTATAGTGGGTAACAATTGCTTATTAACCTCTTTATTGGTGAGATCAGTGCTGCTTTTAATTATAAGTATTGCCAGCTTGCATGAAACTCCTCGGCCAGGTTTCCGGATTCCCGTCTATAAAATGCTATTTATCAATATATACAGGAAGTGTTCTGTGGATGAGGCAAGAGACACTGAAATTACTGTGCTCACTGCAGGCATCCTATTTCAGCAATAAAGGACTGTATCAGCCCTACTCTTAAGTTCTGCAAATTTCGGTAGAATACAAGCACAAGCTGTTTTCTTCCAAATATTGGTTGCTTCCTGTTTGAGTTACACAGGTTTATGTCCAATTTACATCTGTGTATGTCATTTTTTAAAATTGTGGAAGCCTAAGAGATGCTTTATTGCTATGTGTCAGCTATTTCTCTGCTGTCCAGCAGTCAAGTAAAGTGTTAAGTTGAAACGGAAGCAGCTAAAAAGTATGGAGGGGGAAAGATGGATTAGAGAGAGAGGATGTGTTATAGTTCCACTTTTATATACTTTTACTGTATATCTGAATATCCAGGATCTTGTCTTGAGTGCTTTCACTAAAACAAAACCAACAAAAAGCATTGTTAAAGGCTTTCATGGCTGGAATCACTGGGTTGTTGTAGGTTCTCTGGGCTATATGGCCATGTTCTAGACGCATTCTCTCCTGACATTTTCGCCTGCATCTATGGCAGGTATCCTCAGAGGTTGTGAGGACCTCACAACCTTTGAGGATGCCTGCCATAGATGCAGGTGAAACTCCAGGAGAGAATGCTTCTAGAACATGGCCATATAGCCCAGAGAACCTACAACAACCCAACAAAATGTAGTCTTTCTGTTTTTCTTCCAGTTGATCTGCATAGGCTTCATTTATACCGCATCAGTACACATCAGAGGAAAGCAGTTTGCTTTCAATTAACTATGAAATTTTCCATCTTACTTCCAGGAAGGCCCCAAAGCAAATTTACTAAAAAGTGAAGTATAGAGTGAGATATTATTATTTATATATCAAGCCCAAAGCTGAATTTCTATCAGATCATACGAAAGAAAAGCCAGCTTCATAGCTAGACAAGCATCTTTCATACCTTATTTTAACAGTAAAATGTGTTTATTTTATAATCACTATAAAACATTTAAAATACATATTTAATATGATACAACTATGTCCTCTGATTCACTCAATTAAAAATACAGCACAATTTTAAAGGAATTCTTACAAGGTACATCATTTCCTCCTAAATGCTGTTTATCTAACTTATTACAAAACCTTAGTTACAAGTAACTAAGAGGCAGAGACTTTTTTACAATCTCCTTCTTTGTTTTCACTCCGCAGTGCTCTGAGTGAACTGAAATTCCTCTTGAGCCTTTTCATATTTGTGCTTTGGCATGGAAACAATGTAGAGGGGAACTTCCTTAAAATGCTAACTTAACAAATTAAAACAACCATAGGTCTCCTGAAAATGCATGCAAAACCCCCTGAGTGTGTTCGTATTAATTGACCATATGTTAAATTGAAACTGTATTTGTTACTGTTTTTCTAAACCTTAAAATGCTTTCTGCCAAAATGTATTGATTTGGCCATTTCCAGGCTTTATGGGAGGCTAAGACAAAAGAGGGGAGAGGGGAGCTTTTCAGAACAGTGCCATTTATTTGAGCCCTGTATTTCCTATTAAAAACACAACAGGTGATAGTGGGTGAAATCCCCTGGCATGAACTGGGAATCAGAACCACTATGTCTAAAAACTTGGCAGTCTGTTCAAATATAAAAAGGGCTAGCATGCAGCAGAAAGCATGTTTGTTCATATCAAGCTAAATAAACTCTTGTTCTGTGTCACAGGGATCCTGTATCGCAAGTCCTGCGCATCCTCTGCAGCTTGCCTCATGACCTCTGCCGGATACCAGACTTTCTGTACTCCAGGGAAAATAAACTCTGTTTGTATAAGCTGCTGCAATACTCCACTCTGCAATGGGCCGAGGCCAAAGAAGAGGGGAAACTCTGGCACCATGCCCAGGGCTGGTGTCTTAACAACCGTGCTGCTCTCCGGCTTGGCATTTCTATCACCGGTACACTGCTAAACCCTAATGGAAGAGTCCGTTGGTCACATCATTTGTCCTGTGTTATTTCCTCCAAAGACACAGCTGGTTTCCATTGTGATGTTGCTGTTTGTATCCAGATGCAGAAAGAAGAGATACATTTTGGAGAGAGAGAAAAATATCAGCAACTTTCTTAGCGAAGGAATATATATATAGTTGTCTGAATTTCCAGTATGCACTTTAAAAAACAAAACAAAAATCAACACTCTTTCATGTAGATCCCATATCCATTCATGTTACTGGAAACAAGCATTTAAACTAGGAGGCTACAACCTGCAGGCTGTAACCCCTTGGCTTGTTTGTTTTTAATTTTCCATTTTTTCGCATATGGTGTACCATCTGATTTATGTTTTATGAGAATTCACACTTCATGTTCACAGAGGCCATTCTGCTTAGAAGGACTAGGGTCTGTGCTGGTCTCCAGGGGCATTGTTTGCTCATTCAGCTCCACTGGTTCAAGACTCAATTTCTGCAAACTGCAGTCAGGCTTGGACTCACTCTGAAAAGTACTTAAGGAAACCTTGTTAGCCGATTTCGTAGAAGACTTGCGCCTGGATGACATGAAGAGCAATGGGCGCCTGTAACGGCTGTCACTGGCTATGGAATCCAAATTGGCTCTTAAAAACTTCTGCTTGTTGATATGATCTAGCTTCAGGCGTTGACAACGGATGACCTGAAGAAAGACGGCCCGGAACTGCTTGGAGGAGATGTTGTAGAGCAGTGGGTTCACGACGGAGCTGAGGTAGAAGAAAGTGTCGGCGATGGGGAGGAGGGTGATGTATGCTCTGAAGTAGGAGACGGTCCAGTCCTGCTTAGGTCTAGCAGCAGCCATGATCCTTAGAACTTGATTTGGCAGCCAGCAAATGGCCAGAGTTGCAACAATCAGTCCTGCAAGCCATGAGAAGAGAGAAAGAGAAAGCATGTGAAAACAAATCATAAAATATTTAGTATTAGTTCTGCACTTCCTGGCGAGGAAATGATACCAATTTTTCAGTGTTTTGCTTGGCAGTTTCTTCTGCCAGTAGCAAAATGTGTTCTAAGAAAGGGGAAAGAGGCAAGCCACTTTCAGGCTTCAAGGTCATTGAGTCCTGTGTTCTGATACGTTTTAATGTAATTTTTAAGATTTCTCTTTACTCCCTGGCATTGGTTAATTTCAAATATGTTATTTAAGTTAGAGGTGCATTCTTCAAAATACTATCCATGATTCCTTTTCTCAACTCTTCTCCCCTTCTGCGTTATTAAAAAAATACAGCCATATTAGAGCAGGCAATACCCAAAAGATGATCAGATTCAGTTTATATTTTACAAAACAAATACGCATACAACTGTATATTTGGCATTATTTTTGGTAACTTTTCTCTGACAGAAGATATTTTTACGTATAGTATGAATGGCTCTTTTTATGACAAAGAGTGTGTAATAGGCATCTGGGAAAGAAATTCCAGTTGAATTAAAATGTGAAGTAAAAGGCATAGGGGAAAAAACCCTCTTAGGCATACCATGGAAAATATTTCAGATAATATGGAAGGGGTTCAAAGCTTTGATATCCATGCATTTGGGATTCATCTTTTAGTCTTTTTTTTCTTACTTCATTGGGTCCAGGTTAAATTTTTTTTTAAGAACATGGAAATGGATCCACAGACAGCTACAAGCACACCACGGTGGCTTTCTTATTGCTGGGTATGGTAATGCAAAAACTACAGATAAATCTGCAGTCGTTGACAAGAATACTGATCCTTTATACAGTGTTCTAAACTATTAAATGTTTTCATGTGCATTGACTTCTAATCCTTACAATGGCTGTGTGTGAAAGTGTCACATTGTCCTCCGTATGGCTTGGAGGGAAACATTCCACAGCTTTGGAAGTAACTCCTAAAACTAACTTGTTGTGGTTGCCATTTTGGTTATATTTTTGAATTTTGAAATTGAAATCAATACAATTCCAAGAAATAAATATTTTGTCAAAGGCTTTCATGGTTGGAATCACTGGGTCGTTGTGTGTTTTCTGGGCTGTATGGCCATGTGCCAGAAGCATTCTCTTCTGATGTTTCACGTGCATCTATGGCAGGCATCCTCAGAGGTTATGCCATAGATGCAGGCAAAACGTCAGTAAAGAATGCTTCTGGAAGATGGTCATACAGCCTGGAAAACACAACAACCCAAAAATATTTTCTTTCGTGTCATTCAAAGGTAAAAGTTCAAAGGTAAAATGTTATACCCGTGTCATTCAAAGGTAAAATGTTATAAGCCACTAGCCTGTGATATAAAACACATTAGTGAAGACACATGCACTCTGTAACTAAAAAAAACCCCTAAATAATTTGCAGTTATACCATCAAAGGAATTATGTTATCCTTCATTACATCAAAATGTAACTTATTAACATTTTAGTTACTACAAAATTACTTCTAAAATCTGCAAAATATATTGCACTATTGAGATCTGAACCCTGATTTGCAACTCCATCTATCAGTGACTAATCTGTACCCCTTCTCCACATGGGAGTGGAGGTACCCATGACTACAGCAAACATCTGTTAGGAAAAACACACGTTAGTTGAATTTAAGAGGAATTTCTGTTCCCAAGATGGGCTGTGAAAAGGAGAATGTAGTTAAAAATTCTTGCTTTTTTAAAACATATATTATATATATAATAAGGACATATGTAGTAGTATGGGAAATTTGTCCCCTAAATTATTGAATTCCTGTGATGCAATTCCAAAGTTTTCAGACGATTCACCCTGCAATGGTGTCCCTTGTTTTGCAGCAAATGTGCCTTATGTGTAAAACAAAACACTCTATAACAGAGGTATTCCCCACCCATTGCGATAGTTCCCTTGAGTTGTGCATTTTGCACCACACTCTTTACTAAAGCTTCTTTTTTGCTTCAAAGCAAGTTAAACAACTTAGCCTGCTTTCTTGATAAAACTTCAAGCGATTCTGCTCCTGCCAATATTTAACGTGGGGTCATAACATATTAAAATAAAGTTCAAACTGTTAAAATATAAATAGGAGAGTAAAATAAACCAAGCAATCTGAAATTCTGTATCAGGAAAACAATGCTCTTTTGTAGAATGTCAAGGAATTTGGAAATGCCAAAAGAACAAAAAATATGAATGTAAAGAGAAAAAGGCGATTAAAAAATAGCAGTGGCTTAGAAGAGCCAGGACTGGACATAAATTGTGTGATGGTTTGTTTTGTGAACCTTTTGATTTGAATGTTTAACTTTGGTTAATAAAAGAGATTAATTTTCATAACAATGAGAAGTTTGCTTTCTGTTAAAATCCTTTTAGATTTTCTTTCACTGGGTCATACATAAATGGTGCTATTATTATCCCAAAGGTATAGTTTTCTAATAGAAGCACACACTTAATCATTTTGTAACAGAAACAGTACTTCGCTTTGTAATAGAAATCATAGCTGGCACTTTCACCTTTGTGGTAACAAAAAATAACATAAACAGATAAGATAAACAAGAATATGCCTTCTACATGAACTCTCTGTATTTTTATTTTTGCTTGCCACTTAGTACAAATTGCCCTATTTGTTTTATATCTGTTCTTCTCTCATTCACATTACAATAGCTGTCAGTACAGCATATAGTTTTCCTTCATTTTTCCTTTTTTATACAGATGTTGTAAGACAGAAAAAAGGATCCTCAGAAATCACATATGTGATGCCTATATCCATGTGTTTCTATTAGTCACGATCATCAATGCAATTACCATTTTGTATTGAATTACTTCCACTTCTGAAGTCTGAACACATAATCAGAACAGCCATGAGACTTAGTGGTCAGATTCTTGTTACTTAATCTCACTGTGAACCCACTAAATCAACTGTAGAAAAAAATATGTCAAACCAGGTTTTTTTTTTGTTGTGTCAGGAGTGACTTGAGAAACTGCAAGTCGCTTCTGGTGTGAGAAAATTGGCCGTCTTCAAGGGGATGCCTGGATGATTTGATGTTTTTATCATCCTTGTGGGAGGCTTCTCTCATGTCCCCGCAATTGGAAGCTGGAGCTGATAGAGGGAGCTCATCTGCCTCTCCTCGGATTTGAACCTGTGACCTGCCGGTTTTCAGTCCTGCCGGCACAGGGGTTTAACCCACTGCACCACCGGGGGTTCCGTGTCAAACCAGGTAAATCCCACTGATTCAATGGGAGTAACTACAGGATTTAGCCACCGTTTGCTTTGTTTTGCTGTTTATTCATTCAGTCCCTTCTAACTCTTCATGACCTCATGGATCAGCCCACACCAGATCTCCATGTCAGCCATCACCACCCCCAGCTCCTTCAGAGTGAAGCCAGTCACTGTTTGCTAAATGGTACTACTTCAAAATACAGTATGATATAAACATGTGGTATACAAACCAATCATAGTTTGTTCTGCCTTACAAGGAACTGGTAAACATATCAAACATTGTTTTATGTTGCTCTGTGTTTGTCATAGGTGTGACTTTACATGCCTCAGGCAGGTTCTAGATGGTGGCGCTTGGGAATAGCAGCTCCTCAAAAAAAGCTGTTATGTGGTATCATACAAGATGCCATTCTATCTCCAATGCTTTTAAATATTTACATGAAGCTATTGGGATATATCATCCATAAGCATCGGGCAGGATGTTATCAGTATGCAGATGACACCCAAATATATTTCTCCACGTCTTCAAAAACATTCTCAGCTAAGGATAGCAATGAATGAATGCCTGGAGGAGGTAATGGGCTGGACAAGGAAAAACAAACTGAAACTGAATCCAGACAAAACAGGTTCTTGCCATCAAGGGTCCTAATCTGAAGGTGGAGGTGTGTGTCAACCAGTCCTGAATGGGGTTATACTCTGCCTGAAAGACTCTGTTCGCAGCTTGGGAGGGCTCCTGGATCTGTCTCTCCGATGTCAGCCGATGTGTGCAATCGTCAGGAGTGCTTATTATCAGCTCTGGCTAGATTTGGAGGTCCTGAAGATGATAGTGCACACACTGGTAACTTCAAGGTTGGATTTCTGCAATACACTTTACATTGGGCCACCTTTGTACCAAGTTTAGAAACTCCAGCTGGTTCAAAATATGGCAGCCTGATTGGTTACCATAACCATCTAAACTAATGGTTCGCAACTTGTGGGTCCCTAGATATTTTGACCTACAACTCCCAGAAATCCCAGCAAGTTTACCAGCTGTTAGGATTTCTGAGAGTTGAAGGGCAAAACATCTGGGGACCCACAGGTTGAGAACCACTGATATAAACCGTCTAAAGACCTATCTCTCCCAGCAGGCCTACCCAGCCAGTTTTAAGCATGAATTTTAAACTCATGTCTTGTGTTCAGTCTCTGTTTTGTGTATATATTATGTATTTTATAGAAATAAATTTTAATATGTATACTTATAGAATTTTTACAATATTTATGTGTTTTAATTATGCAGCAACCCACCTTGAGGAATGGTGGGTAAGAAATACTGCTGCTGCTACTACTACTACTATTAGTAATAATAATAATAATAATAATAATAATAATAATAATAATATGCCATTAGGGCTGGTACATTATGAGTAAAGTAAATTTATGAAGCCAGGTACTATGTTAATGATAAATGATAGCATACAAATTTGCTTTTTCACAGCTGGAAAGGTCAATCCATGCTGGCTCTCACCTATGATTATCACAACTGCTGTTTGAGGGAATTCTGAACTGAGCCACATTCATTACCATTTCCCTCATGTGGAAATCAACAAGCCTGAAGAGACACTCTTGTTTGTGTAGAGAATTGTCATTCAAGCAAGGATGCTAGAAAATCAGAGGTTGTAGTTGTGTGGCATGTCTCCATGTGACAAGATCTCCTTGACAGACTTATCATTTTTCATGGAAGTGGTGGAACTGGCACAATTCTCATCACATGTTCATTCACACTAGGTAAGTAATGCTTCAATAGTAATTGCATTTTTAAAAATCCCCATACAAAAAATATCATCAACCTGTTTTTAACATCTCTGTATGCTTATGTGAGACACATACATGCAAAGACACCTATGTCTATGTACATATTGAGAGAAATGGCCCTATAGTAATACCTTCACATTTATTTATTGCTTTAAGCAAATAGTAGGACATAGGCAGATGCTTTTGTCTGTTAATCTACTGTTTTACTCCTCGCCTGTGTCACTTCAGTTTAGGCCTCTAGTGCTATAGTCGTGCTTTATGAGTTAGACATTCCAGCATCACTGGCTGTTTGATCATACTTCATGTAAAAGAACAGTGAGGCCATGCCCTCATTTTTGTTCCTCTGTGCTGTCAAAATCATTAACAAGAACTAATGATCAATGAGGCATGGCATGGGAGAATCACTCAAGACATGCAGACCTTGCGGAGTTACTCTATCATTTTTCAAAAAGAAGGTGGATCTACTAAATTGATTTTTGAATATCAACCTTTAGAGGACTTTCTTTCAGGGTGGTTGCCAGAAATGTTATGGGGAACGGAGGAATCTTTGCAGAACACTCAGAAAAAACAACAACTACTGGCAGACAAAGTTATTTAATTATGTTAAATGTGTAGATTTTTTTAAAAAGTTTGTTTCAACTACTTTGAAATAGTCAATGTTTGAAAATTTAGGAAAGTGATCTCTCATAATGAGGATTGGGTTTTTGTGCCTTCGTATCATCACGTATGATGACCCCAAAATGGACCTCTCAAAGGACTTTCTTAACAAGATGTTTCAGATTTTGTCATTGCCTTCCTCCGAGGCTGAGGGAAGTATGGCTTGTCCAAGGTCATCCACTGGGTTTCTATAGCTAAGCAGGAGTTTGAACCCTGATTTCCCAGGAGCCTACTCCAACTCCATGCTTGCCTTTCACAAAATCCTGTTGGCAATGATGCTGCTTATGTTATCTTTAAAAATTACAGAAAACTCTAAACCAAATGCAAAATAATGTTTTTATTAAGAAATTTTTAATTTGTTTTGGAAAAACAATGTTTGTTCAATAAGCCATACTTTCTGAATGATCCTTTGGCCCCATGTACTCTTATCTTCCTCTTTACTTCTTCCCTGTGTCAGAATTTGTAGTGCAAGATTTCCAGGATCTGTCACAATATTGCTTTCCATGGTGTCCAAAACAGGAAGCTGACCTGATCTACAAACCAGGATATGAAACCTGGAGCCATGAAGTCATCAAACAATTGCTTCGTCTGGTTTGAAACCAGAATGAGGGCCCAACTGATGCAGAGCCAACTGCTGGGTCTGCTGTTTCTCCTCATTATTGTGACAAATTTATCTATAACTCTTAGCAAGTGCAATAAAAAGAGAAAAACAGTCTTCATTCACCTTGTGCTCTCTTTTGGCGGTTGGTGCTGAGAAACAATAGTGATAGCAGCAAGGAGAATATGGGCTTAGGACATTGAAACCATCATGCCAAGGGTCAGCCAAAGTAGAAAGCCCTCCATATTTATCCCATACACATGTTCAAAAGCAAGCTTGAATATCTGTCCCATTCAGCACAAACCTTTCTGAAAGATTCAAGCATACAGATCAGTGAGCTTTCTGGATTTTGTTGGACAACATTTGAATATCGGGACTTGCAATTTAGCAACATGTGGAGTTCTACACTTTGCTCATTACCTACTATATAGAGAAGTTTTCAGGTTGCCTTACTATGGATTATCTTGCCTTATTGTATCCTCAGAGACTCTTCTCAAGTCAGTTATAACCCCTTAACTGAGAGTTGCTAATGTGGGATCAATGGGTGTCTGTTCTCCTATCAATCAGAAAGCAAATGTCACATAAGACATCATTCACAGAAGAGGATGGAACCATCATCTACATCCTGATAAAAGGAAAGAGATCCCTGTCAATTGCAGTAGCTCCAGAAGGGAGAGTGGACCAGGAGATACTGCATTGTAATATACCTGTTATATACATATTTCTGGATTATTACAATTTCAACTATATTTTGGCAATAGACATGATATTTAACATGAGTCAATCCGGGTTTTTGTTCTGCTCTGATTATTTTATTGGCTTTTAAATTAAACATAGCTTTAAAAACTCATTCTCCAGCTTGAGTCTTCAGAATTGTATTGGTTTAATTAATTAAATGAAAAAGTTTCTTAGCTACAGAATTCCAGCTCTTGACTCTTAGAAACATCTGCAAATTAATATTCAGAAATTGTTGGTGTTAATTGCTATCAAAGTGTTTTCATCTTTAAATGGTCTATGAATAAGAGACCTCCATGAACTCCAGTCATCAATAGTCCTTACAAATTACATTTTTTTTCAAAAAAAATCACATGCACAATCCTGAATCAAAATTAAAATCCTTGACCACAAAATTAGAACAAAATAAAACAATGTATTTTTCCCTTTTAGCCATATTCTTGGTATTGACCTTCAGTGAGAATAAAATGCTACACATATAAGGTTCTCCCTTAGATTCTTCTGAAGGAACCAGAAAGTGAAAAATGAGCTGATGGTAACCTTGTACAATCCCATAGAGGTTAGTCTTTCATGGGGCAGACAGAAGACTGTGTGTGTAAACTTTGTCATTTTTATAAGGACAAGTAATTGCTCATCTGTCTACCCAATGGAAAAAAAACCACACACCACATTCTTTATTTTTGCAGAAATAAGAACAAACATTTTGGCTCAGATGCTTCAGGAATTACCCTATGCCTCCAGGGGGGAAGCCTTATATTTTCATTTAAGTCATAACAGCATAAGGCATAACATCTTTTCACTCTGTTTAATGTGCTGGTACAACCAATAACAAACTTTAGTATGACAAATCATGGGGGACCTAATAGACTATGGATAGCAGCTACCATTGCTCCATAAATGCGCAGAATGGTCTTAAGTAATGCAGTGCAAACTTTTATGGAGACCAATAAAGCAAGTCTTCTTATAAAACAAGAAGTAGTATTTTCTATTAGAATGGGCACCTGTTCTGTCCCTGGGACATATTCATGGGACAAGTACAGGCTGTGTTTTATAATGTTGCAAATCTAATCTGAAGACAAGAAGTACTGTAGCTTCATTTCTTCCTAATTACTGAACTAGAACCACAAGAACCATTGGATGACACAGATTTTATTCTTTTCAGAAAACCATTTGAACAAGAAAGCCAAAATCTCAATTCATTTGTACTAGAGTGAAAAACCCTACTAGCATAACATGGATATAAACATAGAAACCAGGATTGTGGAATTGGAAACAAATTTGGGTGGAAAGTTCCCTAAACCCCACTTATAAGTAAATAGCTGATGCAATCAAGGAGGGTACTCAGGACCCAACTGAAGACAAATGCTGGGATGCCAATAGAAAAATACAGTATAGTCAAAGGTTCAGCACACTGACTTTACAGCCTTAGAACAAACAGTAGAGATTGAATGTACACATGTCCACAAACTGTCCCAGCCTTATGCTAACTCCAGAAATCCACATCCACCAACCACAGGAATAGAGAAAGTGAATGACCCACATGACCCACATTACTGTGCTGCTGGAGCTCTCCTGGCGCGTAGAAATGACACAGTAGGAGAAGGAGTGAGGAATCGTTTCAATGCCTTAGGTAAAAGTGTGCAAACTCATGCATTTTGGACGCTGTGTTGATGCTCCTTAAGAAAACCCTATAAAATTCATAATCACCATGAATCAACAGATGACCTGAAGGTACTTGGACACACATGCCAGACATCAAAATCTGAACACAGCAAGACAATAAGCCAAAAAATAAAAATAAAACCCTGGAAGTAACATTATGTTCCAGCCTGTCTTATTTTAGTGCAGAGATGCACCCTAATAGAAGTTGAGGTTGAAAACTGCCTCCCTAAAACAGTTGGTCATCCCAACACTTGCTTAACTGACCATGTGCTGCCACTCCACATCATTTGATGCAAAATTTGCTATAAGTAAAGCAAATGTTTTTCCCTCTGTTATTTGAGTTTTTAATGGAATTTAAAACAAATGTGTTCCCTTTCACATATTTGTGTTCTGATGCATGAGCTGTTAACCTTGCACTTCTTGTTTGTAAGGATACATTATTTATTTGCTGCTTTGAAAAAATAAAGTGAGTCTTCATCTAAAATAAGATTTCAGAATAAGACACATACCATTTTATAATACAGCATCAAAGCAACATAAAAAGAAAAAGCACAATCTAATCAAATTTAAGTTTCACTGGCCTCGTTGAAAAAAACAAACAAATCTCAGCTACATAAATTAGTGACACTTACAGTGCAACTCTATACATGTTTACTCAAAACGTTTCACAGGGCTTATTCTCAAAGGACGGCCATTTATAAAATTGATTTATTTATTGTGTCAGAAGCAAGTTGAGGGTACAGTTAAAATACATTTAAAATACAAAAGTTTTAAAAAGAACTTGGCATTTTGCTAAATGTCCTTTGACCAGAAGCTGGCCACTTGGAGTGCCTCTGGTGTCTCTGTGAGAAGGTCCTCCATTGTGCATGTGGGAGGGCTCAGGTTGCATTGTAGTTGGAGGTCTGCTGTTTGTTCATCATTTTTAAAATTAATGGAATGGAATATATTATGCCCTGCTCAGTCTCAATAACAACTACATACTTTGAAATCATTTCTAGCTATGTGAGATGTCCAATGTTTGTTAGGCCCCTTCTACATTGCCATAGAAATTCCAGATTATATGCTTTGAACTGGATTATATGGCAGTGTAGACTCATATAATCCAGTTCAAAGCAGAAAATGTGGATTTTCTACTTTGATAATCTGGATGATATGGAAGGATAGAAGGGGCCTTAGACTGGAAGAATTAAATTTAATTTCTCATCCTAATTAGAGAAGAAGCATTCAATTATGAAATTTATTTAAGTGTTGACTTGCTAGGGTTTGATTCATTAAGTGGGTCAACTGTAGTTGGGACTTGCAACTGGATTTAGCGAGTTGACCCTAATTGCCCTGTTCACTGACCATTGGCAATGCTGGTATGGCCTAATGGGAGCTAAAGTCCAATAGCATCTGTAGGGAGATTAGTTGCCCATTGCATCTCTATTACAGAATTGCCACTGGTTCATTAAACTACCAAATACACTAAATTTGCATTTTCCTTCTGAACTTCACAGTTACAGTCACAATCAAATTACTTCAGATGTTAAAGAAACACAAATTATTTAGAATTCATGATTATACATACAAACACTTGATAAGGATTCACACTTGATCAAAATTTTGATTATCCTAATGCTTTGTTTGCACCACATAGCTCTCAAATACCTAAGGCAATATATATGTACATATTTTTGTCTACACATAAGTTGAAACCACTGAGTTCATGTTAAATAATGATCCGTTGCCTTTTCTTAAAAGGTATCTTTCATGCCATCATCTTTTCCTGAGTGACTTGGCATTGCAGTGAAGTAAACCTAGTGCATTAAGAGCCAGCAAAGTAACTGTCTCACTGGCACTGAACAGAAGAAACTTGGCAGTCACTTCTCCCTTAACAGTTCTTCCTTTTTACGACTCAAAAAACATTCCTCCAGGCAAAAGGATCTCAAGCTCAATTCATTGCTAGTATCTACATCTTTATTGAGGATTTTAAAACACATTCTAGCAATGGAGAGCACAAGAACAACTGCAGTACTTGCTTACTCCAAAATTGATACGCCCACGTCATCCTAGGCATTTAATTGTTTCTCTAAGTTTTAAGGTCTAAGCAAGCATTTTCTCCCAGCAGTTTCTCTGGAGACCAATTATCCCATAGAATCTGACTCTTCCAATGAGGTTAGCATTACTGTCATAAGGAAATAACGTACTCAAATTTGTAAGTTATTTCCTTATGCTCATTCCCGCCCTGGTTAACTGTTTCCATGCTCTCTTGTAGCTCAAAAGTCCTTCCTAGATGCACCAAATATTTTTTTTATAGGTGACTCCAGGTCAAATATTTTGCAAATATAGTGTTGGCATTAGCAAGGTTAACTACCAAAAGAAAGTGACTTTTTTGTCATGAAATGAATGGCACAAATGAGGTTTCTCAGCATCTGCTTGTACACTGACATTTAAAAGATAATTGTCATTAGAGCATAAGCATATGGCTAGCTGAGTTCCAAGCTGAGGACAGACAACAATGTACGTGGCTCGGCTTTTCCAAATTAGTTTTGTGTTGGGTATCTTTAAGTCCATGGTAAAAATTAAACTGGTTTTATATGTGCACAATAGTGACATGTTTTACTATTAGCCCCCTATTAATATAACCCAACATCATAAAAACTTTTTTTTATTTGAAAAACCTGAGATTTCCTACCATGTACCCACTTTGTCTGTAGTTATTAAATGTTCTTAAGTAAGAAAATGAGGCAGTGGGAGGTAGGAAAGAGGTTTAAAAGAAACAGAGATAGAACATGTCTATTTTGTTAGACCAGTGGTTCCCAACAACTTTTTGACCAGGGCCCACTTTGATCAGAGCCCACTTGGACCAGGGCTCACTCTTCAACATTAGTACCAAAAGGGAACCTGCATTCACCTTATAATATTAAGACATGAAACTGCTACAGTGCAAACAAATGCTATTGGCAACTTGCAAAGGTGTTCGTGAATCTAACAGCCGCCTCTCAGGCGCAGCACAAGGTGGAGGGTGGACTCCTTCTGGATGTTGTAGTTGGAGAGTGTGCTGCCATTTTCAAGTTGCTTCCCAGCAAAAATGAGCATCTGCTGGAGCCTCTAGACTTGTTTGTGTAAATGCTAATAAAGTTTTCTGTTGCACATTGAAAAACAAACAAACAAAAAAACCCCCAAAAAACCATTAGTACCAAAAGGGGTGGAGCTGGTTAGCTCTGTGGAAAAAAGCAGAAGTAAAATAAAATAAAATAAAATAAAGAGGAAGGAGGTTCACAGACTGGATTTTCATTCTCATGGTCCACTGTGTTAGACAGATAGATCTATTTAAAGAGAGTCAGCCCTATGTATCAACAATTTGGCACCCATGGATTCAACCAATCACAACTCAAAATCATTATTTTTAAAAAAATCTGAAAAGCGAACTTTGATTTTTGCCAGCTAAACCACTTTCTTCAATGCCAGTTT